CTCAATCTTAAAGCATTCATGAACAGCTTTCATTTGATACCCATATTGAACAAATACACCCAAGGTTACCCAGGTCAACGTTTTGGTCTATATCTCGAGACCCTAGTCACGCAGCTATATGAAAAGTGCTCTATCTTAAAGCGTTCATGAACAGCTTTAATTTGATACCCATATTAAACAAATACATCCTAAGGTTACCCGGGTCCACGTTTTGGTCTGTATCTCGAGACCCTAGTCACCCAGCTATATGAAAAGTGCTCAATCTTAAAGCATTCATGAACAGCTTTCATTTGATACCCATACTGAACAAATATACCCAAGGTTACCCAGGTCCACGTTTTGGTCTATATCTCGAGACCCTAGTCACCCAGCTATATGAAAAGTGCTCAATCTTAAAGCATTCATGAACGGCTTTCATTTGATACCCATATTGAACAAATACACCCAAGGTTACCCAGGTCCACATTTTGGTCTATATCTCGAGACCCTAGTCACCCAGCTATATGAAAATTGCTCTATCTTAAAGCACTCATGAACAGCTTTAATTTGATACCCATATTAAACAAATACATCCTAAGGTTACCCGGGTCCACGTTTTGGGGCCACGCCCCCTTTATATATCAAAATATTTTTTACCCTGTGACCATCCCTGGAAGATATCCAGTGCGTGTGTAAAATTTGGTTACGATCGGCTTATTCGTTTAGGAGCCAAGTGTGTCTATAGGTACATACATAATTTGAATTTTATATATATAGATTGTTTATTTTTTGTTTATAAGTGTTAATGAGTTCTTGATTTTTTATGATATTCAGATGCCACTAAGCAAGGACAAATGTAGCAAATGCAAGACAATACATGAATTAGGACAACCTTGTCCACCACAGCCGGCACTGCAACAAGCTCAAAGCGGCGTACACCACATGCAAAGCGCAAATATGGCAGTGACATCTGCCATCACAGGACCCAACCAAAATCTCTACAAGTGTCCGGTTTGCGATGTAGTTAGTTTAACACCGTCCGAAAGCCGGAAGCACATGGAGACTCATGGTACAGTAAAGGCATTCCGTTGTAGTATCTGCCGCTATAAGGGCAATACATTACGGTAAGTAAGAAAACACGTAATGATGATTTGTTTGCCCAAATATTTTTTCTACAAAATTGATATTTGTTACATCAAACACGACTAGGAAATTTAGCACGGATTATGAAATTATTCCGACAGCTGAGCTTGAGTTAGCTGTTTATAAATATATGGGCAAATCTAAAAAACAGGTAGATTTAAAAAAAAAATATTTTTTTTTTAATTTGTGATCACACCTATGTTGGCTATATGATTTTATTCGTAATCTCTTAATAAATTGAAAAATATTAGTGCGCTTAATTTTTATTAAGTGCATCAAAAGTTAGACG